ATATGCCTTTCACATAGATTCACCGATTAACACTTTGCCACATTCACTTTTTACACACAGGTGGGTGCTTACATACTCATGGTATTTTATTTTTCAGAACCATTTGAGAGTGAGTTGTAGATATTGTGCTTTCCACCCGTATCTAATTTAGCATGTCTAAAGAACATGGACATTCACTAATACAATCATATACCATTATTGTACTCAGGAAAGGTGACATTTCACTGTTTACATAAACATTACCTAATACACATTTCATATTCCGATTCCCCCAGTTGCCCAATTATGTACTTTCCTTCAACAACTTTTTATTTCTTTTTATAGCCAAGGAAATTATTATAAGGAAAACACCCTTGCAATCATCATCTAGGACAAAAAAAAAAAAAATAGAACTTTGCCAGTCACCCCAGAAGCCCCTGAATGTAGTAATAACTTGTCTGTCTTTATGGCTTTATTTATCCCCCTCACCTTAGTCTTGCCTTGTTATTATTTCTGACTTCACATGCCTTTTAAGTCATTTTTTTCTTTTTGCCTTTTAAGTCACTTTTAATCTACAGGCTCTCTCTTTTCATCCGTTTATTTTCCTTACCATGCATCTGTTAAAAGAACTTGGCACGTCGGACCTATAAAGTTTCCAACAGTTTGGGTTTTGCTGATTGTACACTTCAGATGCACTCAGTTGAACAAGTTCCTGTCTTCTCTGCATTCCCTGCATTTCCATTGGTGGCTGGATCCAGAGGCTGCTTAATCAGGTTTCATGTCTTATCCCGTTGGCAAGGCTGTAGACCTGCATAGGCACATAAGTCTAGTTTTTTCTTTGCTCTTTTGGTGTTAGTGGCTGTTGATGCTCAATGCCTAGACCCATTGGTTCACTGAGGAGTAGAAAATGGTGTTTTCTACTTCTGTCATTTCATTTTCACATATTAGCTGGAATAGTTTAATAAGGAACCACTTTCATTCATCTACTATTTAGTTATCCAGTTATAAGAAAGAGACGATAAATGCTTGATTTTTTTCTATTTATCCAGTTTTATTGAATTGGTTCCCTTTCATCTTCAGAAGGTCACCAATTAGGTTTTTTTTTTAATATCATGATGAATTTGTAGATTTAAACATTTGGGTTTGAATGCTTTCTAATTCTTATCCTTATTGAAGTTCAAATGGTCCCATTTTGGCTACTAGGAGTTGGCTCTGAGTACTTTTGACACGACGCAAGTAGTCTGTGATACTTTCCTTGCTATCAAAATGGTCTCAGAATTTCTCACTGTTTTTGTAATGTATGTTTCCTTGATTACTAATGAGGTTGAGCATCTTTTCACATGTTTATTGGTTTCTTCTTCTTGAAGTGACTTTTTATGTCTTTTGGCCACTTTTTGTATAGGTCATTTGTCCTTCTCTTAAAGATTTATAAGGAGTCTTTTTTTCCTAGATACTAATATTTTTGGTCACATGTTTGCAGACGTCTTCTCCCAATTTGAGGCTTGTCTTTTCAGTTTTGGTGTCTTTTGATGATAAGTGGGTTTTTTTTTAAATTTT